ATGTCCCTGCCTCTAGCTATGCTCTCCTTTTTATCTACAATAAACTTCCTCCTCCACCATACCTAGGAGCAGTCATGTCCTTTCCTTTTTATTTCTTTTTCATTCACAGGGTATCTCTGAGGTTCAAGGAGTATAGTTAAGATGAGTCTTTCACTATTGAATGGACTGTCTTCACCAGATGTATAATGACTATGACAAAATGCCTGAGATAAACAAAGCCACGACCACCAGTAACTCCAGCTCAAGGCATCAGACGCCCTCCTCTGGCCTCTGGCACTCATGTGCACACACATATACATACACACAAAAATAAATAAAATAAATGTCTTCTTAATACAAAGAGATTTGTTAAGAGAATAAAAAGATGCAGACTGTAAGAATATATTTGTAAATCATATATGGTAAGAAGTTATATTAAAATATATATCAGGCATTCTTGGACCTCCAGCCCTCCAATCATGACTCTGAGACTTATTAATTACAAATGTTCATTCTTAGTTCAGACTTGTTTCTAGCTAGCTGTTTTTCTTTAACTTAAATTAACCCATTTCTATTACTCTACGTGCTGCCCCAAGGCTCATTTACCTCATCTATATATTGTCCATCCTATTTTTCTGCTTCCTCCATGTCTGTCTGTCTGTCTGCCCTTTTCTCTCTGCCTGCCAGCCCTGCTTATCCCTCCTTTGAGTAGCTATTGGCTGTTCAGCTTTACATTAGACCAATCAGGTACCTTAGACAGGCAAGATGAAACAACAACACATCTTTACATAGTTAAACAAATGCAGCCTAAATAAAAGCAACATGTCTTTGCATAGTTAAAGAAATGCAGCATAAACAAATGTAACACATCTTTACCTAGTTAAACAAATATTCTATTCCACAACAAAAATATATAAAGAATTCTTGAGGGGCTGGTGGGAGGAAAGGGAAAGAAAGAAGTGATGTAATTATATTTTAATTAAAAATCTATTTTAAGAAAAGAATTCTTGCAGGGCAGTGGTGTCACATGCCTTTATTCCAGCACTCAGGAGGCAAAGGGAGGTGTAGAGGTGGAGTTTTTCATTGGGACAGATGTGGGAGCCCGTTCTCAGGTTCCTCATGGCTTTACCCAGCAGGTCCGCATAGAGGATGATTAGACCACGGGCCTGAGTGCAGGTGTCTGGGATGGTCTGCACTTGGCTGTGCTGGGGGAGGAGGTCTTTTGCTCTACCCCTTGGCATCTCTATAAAAACCCTGGGGCAGAGACAGTCGGGGCCCATTGGAATAGGTTCCAGGCCGTCTCGAGGCTATCCTTTATTTTCTATCTGTTTATCTCCGAGATATTCTCCGCAATAAATCCTTCTATCTAATATTTCCTGCTGCTCACACTCAAGAAAACTCTGGGGAACTGTGGGGGTGGTTGGGTAAACGCCCCACAGACAGAAGGCTCCCAAAGAACCACACAGAGACTTGTTATTAATTATAAATGCTCAGCCAATAGCTTAGGCTTGTTACTAACTAGGTTTTATATCTCAAATTAACCCATAATTCTTATCTACGCTCTACCACATGGTGGTACCTTTGTTCAGTATCTCATGTTCATGTCCTGCTTCCTCTGCATCTGCCTGGTGACTCCTCATCTCTGCCTTTCCCAGCATCTTCTCTGTCCTGAAAATCCTGCCTAGCTATTGGCCAGTCGGCTCTTTATTAACAATGAGAGCAACACGTCTTCATAGTGTACAAAAGGATTATTCCATAGCACACTTCCTAACAGTGCCACTCCCTATGGGCCTATGGGGGCCATTCTTATTCAAACCACCATACCCTATCTAAAAAAAAAAAAGAATCCTTAAACTCTGGCTCAGCTACCTGAGGCAGTAGAGCCTGGTGAGTGTCCTGGGAACATATGCAAGGAGGAAGCAACAGATAGCTATGAGCGAATTAGGAGCTGTCCCATAGGAACCAGGGTAGAGGAGAACATGTGTTCATGTTTGTCTCCAGTGCTTTCCTACAGTGCCCCAGGACCAAGGGGCATTAAGAACTTGCTTAATTTGTGCCTTAGCTTCTAACAGCTCAGCTTCAAAATTACTTCCTCCTACATCCCACATTAGCTGTTCACATAGATATATTTACATAGAGCAATATCCAAGGAAAATGAGTCTATGAGTTAGGCCAATACCGAACAGAAGAAATAGCTTGTCTCTGGGGCCCAAGACAAGAGGTCTATCATCTAACACAGACGCGCGCGCGCGTGTGTGTGTGTGTGTGTGTGTGTGTGTGTGTGTGTGTACATGTTCTGTGTGCCCACCTGCAGAGGCCAGTGGTCAATATCAGGTGTAGTCCTCAACCACTCTCCACCTTATTTATGTGTGTTACATGTGTGTGAGGGCCAGAAGCAGACCTCAGGTGCAGTCCCCAATCAATCACCACCTTATTTATTGTGTATGTGAATGTGTATGTATCTATGTGTGTTACATGTGTGTGAAGTCCAGAAACGGACCTCAGGTGTAGTCCTCAACTACTATCCACCTTATTGTTTTGAGACAGAGTATTACTGAACCTGGAACTCACAGATTAGGCGAGATTTCAGAGCACAGAGTAAAGAGACAGAAGGCAGGAAGAGACCTGAGTCTGACCTCAACAGATAAAACTGTTTATTTCAAATAGCGAAGGGCAGACATTATAGCAGAGAGTATGTGAAAATTTCTATGGTCTTTCCTTCCTGGAATTGTTTGCTTGAGCAAGACAGATTGTCTTGGGAGACAGGCTGTCTCAGCAAACATCCCTCTCTAGGTTGTGACTGGCCAATAACTGTTGAGCTAAGTCAGCTGTGCTCTCATAGGATCCTATTTTTACAGCCTAGGCTTTCTATCATTGGCTAGCCACAGAGCTCCGGGGATCCTTCTGTGTCCACATTACCAGTGCACTGGGATTGTGTGGTGTCCAAGTTTGCTTCTCTGTTGCTTTGTGTAAACACTGACCAAAACTTAGGGAGAAAAAGGTTTATTTCAGCTTACAACTCTACATCACAGTTCATTGAATTCCAAACAGGAATTCAAGGAAGGAATTGAAGCAGAAACCACAAATGAATGCTACTCACTGGCTTGCCTTCTATACAACCCAGGACCACCTGCCCAGAGGTGGCACCATCCACAGCAGGCTGGGCCCTCCTGCATCAATCACTGATCAAGGAAATGCCCTGCAGATACACGCCTACAGCCAATCTGATGGAGGCACTTCCTCAATTGAGGCTCCCTCTGCCCAGCTGACTCTAGTTCGGGTCAGGTTGACAAAAACCACCCAGCACACAGCAATCTCTTTACCCACCAAGCCACCTCCCCAGCTCCTTTTAAAGGCGAGATGGCCTGCTTTTTACCAATTTAATAATGTGATTTTACTTTTTGATGTATATCTTTCAAACAAGATCATAAACATTTCTTCTTCTGGCACAAGCCTAATGTTTTGTAGCCAGGACTCAAGTGTAATGATTGAGATAAATAAGATTGGTTCAGGCTATCGAGTTGGCTTAGCAGATAAAAGTGCTTGTGGGCAAGCCTGCCATCCTGGTTCCAGCCCAAGAATACATATAAAAGTAGAAGGATAGAATCAAGCCTATAGAGCTGTCCTCTGGCCTCCACGTGAGCACACACATGACACACTCCCAATAAAAAAAAACAAAAACAATAGAATCAATGGTTAATCATAACATGTTCATAAGCAAGTTAACTGTGGTGGTTAGTATGATGTCAACTTGACACTAACTACAGTCATCTGAGAGGAGGGAACCTCACTTGAGAAAATGCCTCCCGAAGGTCAGACTGAAGGCAAGCCTGTAGGGCATTTTCTTAATTAGTGATTGATGCAGGAGGCCCAACCAATTGTAGGTGGGAATACCACTGGGCTAGTGGTCCTGGGTTCTATAAGAAAGTAAGTGGAGGCCGGGCGGTGGTGGCGCACGCCTTTAATCCCAGCACTCGGGAGGCAGAGGCAGGCGGATCTCTGTGAGTTCGAGGCCAGCCTGGTCTACAGAGCGAGATCCAGGAAAAGCGCAAAGCTACACAGAGAAACCCTGTCTCGAAAAACCAAAAAAAAAAAAAAGAAAGAAAAAGAAAAAAAAAGAAAGTAAGTGGAGCAAGTCAGTAAGCAGGCCTCCCTGGCCTCCGCATTGGTTTCTGTCCTGCTTGAGTTCCTGTCCTGACTTCCTTCAGGGATGAAGTTCTATGGAATGGTAAGTCAAAGAAGCCCTTTCCTCCCCAGCTTGCTTTCACTCATGGTTGTTTCATCACAGCAATAGAAACCCTCAGACAGTAGGCAAGTACGACTGCTAAGGAAAAATGCTATTGCTAGTACAAGTCAAAGTAGTCAACAACCAATTTTTCTGTGTGTGTGTGTGTGTGTGTGTGTGTGTGTGTGTGTGTGTGTGTGTGTGTGTGTATGGTGGTGTATGTATGTGCCTGCACGCTGATTCCAGAACACTGACTCTAATGGAGTTGCGGTGGGCTGGAGATGGCTTAGCGGTTAAGAGCACTGGCTGCTTCCAGAGGCTCCAGGCTTAGGCTCCTAACACCCACATAGTAGGTTGGCTCAGATCTGGCTATAATGTAACTCCAGGTCCAGGGGATCTTCTGAACTCTGTCAGCATCAAGCTCACAGGTGGTACACATACACACACGCAGGCAAAAGACCTATCTGTACGCATAAAATAAATCTTGAAAAAAATTTAAATTGGGTTGCTAATACCACCAGTTTTTAAAACACAGAAGCAGGTGAGGATTTAGAAGACCAAGCAGGTACCAGGGATTTAGAAGACCAAGATAAGCACCGGGACTGGGAGACTGTCCTATTTTAAGGCATTATTCGTCACTTGCAAAACCAGTTAAAAAGCTGAGGTACTCCTGAGCCTCCCTAACCCCCACAACCTGCTCCCTCCGCCCCACCAGAAACGGGGGCGGGGTAAGTTGCCGGAAGAGGCGGGGCCTACAGAAGGCCTTGGGGTTGCGGGAAGCTCCGGCACTTCCTTTCCGCGCAGCGTCTGGGATCGCGGGGTGCGTGTGCAGCATGGCGGGCTGCGGAGGCCCGGGGCTGCGGAGCCCGGCCTGTCCTCGGGCTCTTCCAGGTGCGGATCCCGCGGTCTGTCCACCCGTCGGTGCGGAGCGGGGCTCGCAGCTGACGGCGCCGGTCCCTTGCCGGGTACGGTGGGCCAAGCGGCCGGGTCTGCGCGGCGGGTCGCGCGCGTTCCCCAGCGCTCGGGCTCTTAAATCTGCAAATCTTAACTGAGGCTGCTCCGAGGACAACAGCGTTTGGCGGCCCTTAGTTAAAAGGCCTGCGCCTCGGGACGCGTCCAAGTGCGGGGAGGAGCGGCCTCTTCTGGCGGCAGCTTTCGCTGGGCCTGCATGGTGGCGGGTGTCCTTTTTGTGTCCCCAAGAGAAGCCACCGTGCAGCCTGTTTCAGACTTCCTAAGTAGGCGACCTATGTCTCTGTGGGACATTTTTCTAGAGGTAGGGAGTATTGTTGCCTTTTAAGTATTAAGACCGTCAGTTTTAGGGCTTGTAAGTATACTCTAAAAGAGGCATTGAAGTTGGAGCAATATTTGCGCCGCACATCTTGAAAGCCCACAGGGTGGGAATGCTGGCTATAAAAAGGTAGTGATTAAGTTCTGAGACAATACAAAAGAACGCACCATTTCAGAACTGTGGAATAGTACACTTTCCTGTTAGCATTATAAACTAGGTTAGGCACTCTGGATTCCTATTAGCTCAAGCATTTCAAGACATGAGGGTGATCAAAGTTTCCAGTCAAATTTTACAGGCCTTAATAAATCATCTTCAGTAACTGGTTCAGTGATTTAGTCTCGGAGTTCTGTAGGACGTATGTGACCTTGGCCATGCCCTTTGCTGTTAATGTGCAGGTGGTGGTCTGCACAACTGTAGTTAATGATTCCGGGTTTTCACCTGTAAGCCCTGAGACTAATGAGCAAAGGCATGGTACTCCGAATCCTTGTCTTAAATCAGTACTGCCACAGTGAAGGGTGTGAATAAAATGTTTTTCTGTCCATGATTGATGGATGACAGCCAGAGGCAGGAGCTGATGCAGAAGCCATGAAGGAGTGCTTACTGGCTTACTCTCAGGTTCTTACAGAACCTGGGACTTGCTGTTTGAGTGTCCCCACCCACACTGGGCTGGGCCCTTACCCATCAATTACTAACTCATTAAGAAAATGCCTTACAGGCTTGCCTGAGGCTCAGCATTTTCTGCAGGCATTTTCTCAATTGGGGCTTCCTCCTCCAGTGAGTGACTGGCTTGTGTCAAGTTGACATAAAACTAGCCAGCACAGTCAAATAAGGTGCTAAACATGGAATTATAAATGAAGAGTTCACAATCAAATGTTTTAATTTTTAGGTGCAACAAAACCTGTGTCTTGAAGATGCTTGAACAAATGTTTTCCAAAAACTTGTCATGGAAAGTGATGTAAACAAGCCACCAAGAGGACAGTTGCCAGTAAAAAGGTGTGTGCTGGTTTGATATTTAAGGACCTAGTCAACACATAGGACCTGTTCTTGATGACTTAGCTGGCACAATGATGACTTCAGTTTTTGCCGTTTACCCAGCTGAGGGCTTCTTTGAAGAAGTAATCTAAACACTGAGATGCCAGCAATGTATGGATTATTCGAATTACTGAAATGTGATGAAATTGCTGAAACAGATGTACTGTTTGTTTTTTTTTTCTATCTAGCACATTGGTGGCTGCAGGTGAACGTCCAATGTCAGTAACTGTGATGTTTACAAACACTTCATTGTTCTGGGTAAGTTTGCTCAAGCAGTCACATCTCTCGATTGAGCAGTATTTGATAACACTCAGGGACTGGGGCCAGTTCCTTTTGAAATCGCCTTTGAATGTCTGTTTACTTGGCATTCTTTCGAAGGTCATTAAGATGAATATCTGGGCTTAGCTTTTGAGCTTGAGGGAAAATGATACCATGGGCTTCTGACTTATCTTCTTTTTCCTTTGGGAAGATGCGGCACACGTTTGGAATGTAAAATGAAGAATTGGTCAAGAAACTGAGCAGAAGCAAGTGATGAGAATTAGTATTTTATTTTATTTGATAGTAATAAACAATAAATTATGTAGAAATAAAAAGCTGATTGTTGTGGGCAGTAATTTCTTTTAAATGTTTATCTTTAAAGCGTCGTCCTCATAGTAAAGTTCTCAACCTTTCATGAGCTGTTTTGCAGCATACAATGTAGGAAGGTGGGTGCCTGGGCAGTCTGTCTAGGGTCACTTGACAAGTCTAAATAAAACACTGCTAATCTTTAGCCTCTTGAGTCCCTAGGTTTGGTACACAGCATAAGAATACAGCAACGTTCTGATGACATGGGGCATTGAAAAGCCTTTGTGTTGGCTGGGGAAGTGGTTGCCTAGCTGGTACAAGGCCCTGGGCTTGATCCTCAGGAACAAGGAAATTCCTAATGATAGACTTTCCAGTTTGAGAGGTACTTTGTGTGGTTTGTGTTTGGTTTTTGGTAAGAATTGTTTTACCTTCACTCCAGAGACCTACACTTTCCACACATCATATGAAAAGGCACAAAACAGGTCTTAATTTACATGTACTGTCATTGACTTGCCTTTCAGAGCCAGTACCTAGAAATAACAAGTCAGGTACTGTATGACCCTAGAGTGCCAACTAATTGGAGGCAGGATGACCACTTGCCCCCAGGAGTAAATAGTTGTTTGGAGTCACTGGTTGTACAAAAGGTGTATATAAGAGTTACACAGCTTTCCTTGACTTCATACTTGAGCTTATAAAACAATATACCCTTAGTGCACATGTTAAAATAGAGAAAGACCTTACATTAGACACTTTGGATCATAAAAATTGCAGTGATTTGAAGTTAATCAATTTGGTAAATAAAGAAACTTAAACTGGTATGTTTGTAGGTAAAGTGTTGCTACCTGATGGGTGGAATGAACAGTTTTTTTTCACACTGCAATGTTCTCAGTGTGCGTATGATACACTGGGGTAACCAGGAAGTTTTTGATGTGAATCTCCTTGGTAACAATGTTTAAATATAAAATTTTGTTATTGGTTTTAGATACTTGGGTTATTTGTGTATGTGTTCCTTGTGAAGGGGCCACATTTCCTACTCTTAATGGCATTCTAATAGCCTGAGGCAGTACACATCTGAAGCGTTACTTCGAAATCACTCATACATTTAACCAAGGCTTATAGAGGTGTGAAAAGTAATCCTTTGCTCACATTGCTTATTCATCACTAGAAAAGATGGCTGTCCCAGGTCCACATGCGGCGATAAACTGTTGGAGCTGCTGTTGGTACTGAGTCAGGTGGAGATCTCTTTGCTCTAAGTATTCTTCATCATACAGTTCAAATGGAAAGAGTGCATTGGGAGCAACACAAAATGCAGTGGCCCCTAAGTGAAGAACAAAACAGTGTAATGAGACTTAAAAACTAAAAATGGAAATACATATCAACAAAGATAATAAAGGTTTAAAAAATCTGAACTGTTGAATAGGATCTGGTCCTTTTAAGTTTTTAAATTTTATTTTTGGTCCTTTTTGAGGCAAGCTCTTGCTATGTAGCTCTGGATGACTGATTGAAATATATTTTAAATACAAAATGAACTCTAGTATATATCGCCCAACCTGATTCTGGATCAGGCCCTTCTCATGTGCTGTTTTATGGAATCCTTGCCTCCAGGACTTAACCTCTGATCACTGCCCAGCATTTGGGTCATTCTTACACTTACCACCAGGCTGCTCTCCACTGCAAACCTAGGCCATCATGCTCATTGTTGACAACTGTGTGTACTATCATTAGTTTACTGTATCATAGATACTTTAGAATTTACATTAAAAAGTCCCTTCCTGCATCACATCCATTCCAGCTGGTGCCTCATTTTGTTCCTTATCTTCAACATTCAGTTGTCTCTGCGGGCTGCCCCATAGCCACACATCCATTCTCTCTCCAGCTCCAAACAGCTCTGATCGTGGGTACTACAACCTCTGGCTTAGCAGATGAATCGTAATCTCAATAGCATGTGTCCAGTGACCACTCAGTTTGAAAACCTTTTCTTGGCGCCTAGAGTACCACACCTTCCTATATTAAAGCTTTTGCTTCAGGAACTAGCCTTTCTTCAATCCATTTCTAAACACTGGAATTCTTCCAGTGCAGTGGTGGAATTCTCTATACTTTGTCTAGGTGATTTCATCCATTTGACTTTGAATACCATCTCTGTTGTCCTAATTCTTACATTTCCAGGCTAGAACTCACCTAAGATCCAGATTTTTTAGTGTTTTGTGTGTGTGTGTGTGTACACCAAGGGTGAGCGTACAGGTCAGAGGACAGCTTAAGGAAGTAGGTTATCTTCCCCTATGGGTTCAGACTCTGCGTTGCATGACTACCCCCTGAGTCATCGACTCATCCTGAAATTTTTCGGTTGGAATCTCTAGAATTTTATTTTTCTGTCAAGTTTTATCCCTCTTTGTTCTAGTCTTGGTAAAGAGCACTATAATTTCCCAACTAGGTAAGGACCCTTAATAAGCATCACTTCTTCCTCCACTCCTGCACACAAGTCCTAACAATCTAGTTCATTAGCAGAGTGTTGGATAAAATCATCCAAGGTCCATCTCTCACTAATTCCTGTTTCTACTCTTCACCTAGTCAAAGCTTCCACTACAATCACATGGAGTATGACATCATAGGCTGTGCAAGTCCAACCTTTCACTACCGACAACCTGGGTGTGGCACAAGCGCTTAATCCTAGCATTCAGGAAGAAGAGGCAGGTGGAACTCTTGAGTTTGAGGCCAGCCTGATCTACAAAGTGAGTTCCAGGACAGCCGAGGCTACACAGAAACCCTGTCTCAGATTCACCATGTTTCAAAATAGAATTGATATTTGGTCTCTTAAAACACTTAGTTTCTTCCCATTTGTTTTGGACCAGAACCCTGGTTACCATACTCGGAGACTTGCAGGCAGGCAAGCCCGCCCCAGTTTTCCTTTATAACTTAGCTGGTCTTTGTTCTGCTTGATTGGCAATGTTTTAGTCACCCTGGACCTCTCATTTTCTTGAAAGCATCTACATTTATTGAAGGGCCCTCTACCTGGCTATCTCATCCTTCAGGTTAAATAACTCTTCCTCATAGAGGTCTCCTTAATTGTTCTGAATGCCTAAGCCTTCTATTCTCCATAGCATTTATCTCAGTTTGTGTAAGTTCAGCTGGCTTCCTCCTCATGCACATGACTGGCTGTGTCCAGTTTCAAGGACACAGAAGCTGCTCCAACACCAGCTTTCTCTTAGGCTTTGGGGTTTCAATTTTTTTTTTTGTCTTTTGTCTTTCCCCTTTTTTCTTTGTACACTTTGAGCAATATCTTTTACTTTATGATGATTTATATTTTTATTTCTCATCTAATATTTTATGTATTTCCCATTATTCCATTTATATTCTTTTTTTTTTTTTTTTTTTTTTAGTTTTTCCGAGACAGGGTTTCTCTGTGTAGCTTTGCGCCTTTGCTGGATCTCGCTCAGTAGACCAGGCTGGCCTTGAACTCACAGAGATCCGCCTGGCTCTGCCTCCCCAGTGCTGGGATTAAAGGTGTGCGCCACCACCGCCCAGCTATATTCTTTTCCTATATTTTTCTTTTTACTTTTTTGCCATGTTTCCCTTCTCTCTAATTTGTTGTATTTGGACTTTACCTGATTTTTAAAATAAGACTCAATATTTTTAGTTTTCATTTTCCATCTTACTTTGTTTTTTTTTGTTTGTTTTTCCCGAGACAGGGTTTCTCTGTAGTTTTGGTGCCTGTCCTGGATCTAACTTTGTAGACCAGGCTGGCCTCGAACTCACAGAGATCCACCTGCCTCTGCCTCCCAAGCACTGGGATTAAAGGTGTGCACCACCACTGCCCGGCCCATCTTACATTTTTTAAGTTTGCTTGGAACTGTCCACATTGGGAAATCTTTTTCCCTTTTTAAAAGGACCTCTTGGTCTTTTACTTCCCTCCATTGCATTCCCCATTCTTCCTTTCCCTTACACTGATTTGATCCTGCTTGTCCTTTGTCATTTTCTCTGCTTGCCTCCTACTCTTGTTATCTCACTCTGCTCTTCACTATTTTGGGGGAAGAAGCAGTGTGAGGACGGGGGTACGGCGAAGGCAGTGAGGGAAGGGGCTTAGTAAGGACAGTAAGAAAGTATAGTGACCTATCACTCTGCTAGCTTCAAAACTAATAAAAAGTGAAGTCATATTTAGGAGCTTTTTTAACATTGTTTTACTTAAGAGTTAAAAAATCACAAACACCTAAATGAAATTTATCAACTAAAGGAATTGAAGACATCTTTTTCCTTCCTTTAAATCCTTTTTTTAAATGCGTCAGTTAAGTCTTGACATCACAGTCAAGTGACAATATTTTGTCATATTCTACCACAAGAGTCCTTACTATACAAAACCCAACATACTTAACCATTATATAAAATTGGCAGCACATTCCTTCCTTCCTTTTTCTCTCTCTCCAGATGAGACAGGGTTTCTCTGGGTAGCCCTGGCTGTCCTGTAGACAGCCTCTGTAGACCAGGCTGGCCTTAAACTCACAGAGATCCACCTGCCTCTGCTTCCTGAGTGCTGGGATTAAAGGTGTGCGCCACCACCACCTGGCTGGCAGCACATTTCTTTATGGTATATAAAATAATGTGCCTGATTTGAAAAAATGTGGCCTTAAAATAAAACAAATAAAAATACTTATATATCCCTATTTACTATTCACTAGGACCAGTATTTTATCTAAACTAATTCAGGATGACAGTCTTTTCTGGTAATCACTAACTCTATAGTTTACTTCCTAAGTTTACAATCTATCTCCTTTGTAAAGGACACACACAAATTTGTAGATAATGATTTACAACAAGCCTTGTGGGCTTGAAGCATCCATGGATCCTAGGTTAAGAATGCTTGGCTTAGTCTGGGAGCTGAAGGGATGGCTCAGTGGTTAGGAATGCTTTCTGCTTTTTCAGCACTGTGGAGGCTGAGGCTTGAGGATGGCAAGTTAAAGGTAAGCATGGGCCCTGTGCTGAGGCTTAGTCTTACAAAACCCCCAATAGCAATCATACATAATAAGATGTTGATTATCAG